TGGCCTCATCCCTGGTGTTCTAATGAAACGTATGTGTGCATCCCTAGTGGCAACAGAACTCCTGTGCCAGACGCCTGTCCCTTTTTTTGTTTGTTTGTAAACTATAACATCCTGAAAGACTTGGTCTCTAAAACCAGTATTATACAATAATTCACTTTTTCCATTTTCTTCCCCTATTGATAGAAGGTGTGTGTGGAATTCAGCTTCAGACTGCCACCCCAAGTTCACAGAATTGTTTTGCAGCCAAAAATAGAAGAAATTTTGACATTTTAATTAGTTTATGTGGGAAAAGTCAGGGTTAATATAAGAGTTCCCTCATACTTTTTGAAACATAAATAGCTGGAAACCGCTTGTTCTTCCTTTTTGATTCCCTGGAGCTGCAAGCACCTAGATGGGAACAGAGATCAAAGAAGCCACGGACAGAGATGATTTTTTTTCCTTCCGTTAATGAGACGATTGAAGAAGCAGTCTGCACGCAGGACGGCGTGGCAGGTGTTGCGTGCGCTGCGGCTCATGTTTCCCTGCATGAAAGGCAGGCTGCTTCCCACAGAGCTCTCAGATGGAGCACAAAGCAAACGCGTATTTTACTGGTTCCATCTGAGCCTTGTGCTTTTTTTCAGGTCAGTTAGAATGATGTTTAGATTTTTCTTCAAAGTTCTAAAAAGACACTGTAAGAAAATTGGAAGTTAATTTCACTTAAAATAAACCAGCCACACTGTATCTGGATTCTTGAATTGTCTCATCACTTAAAAAAAAAATATATATATATATATATATGTTGTAAATTAGAAAGGCAGATATACAGCGAGAAAGATCCTCTGTCTGCTCGTTCTTTTTGCAAGTGGCTGCAATGTCCAGAGCCTGCTCTGGGTCTTCCACACAGGTGCAGGTCCCATGTCCCTGGGCAGTCCTCCATTGCTTTCCCAGGCCACAAACAGGGAGCTTGGTGGAGTTGAGCAGCCAGGGTTAGAACCGGCTTACATAAGGGATCCTGTGGCATGCAAGGCCAATAGGCTGCCGCCTGGGTTTTTCTCATCATTTTAAAATCTCATTTTTATGTGAAAGGGAGAGCATGAGAGAGAGTTCAGTGTCTGTTGGTTCCCTCTTTAGATGGCCTGGACTGGGCCAGACAGGAGCTTAGAACTCCATCCTGGTCTCTCTTTTTGAGATGAGCCCTGCTCTGCTGCTTCCTACGATGCATGAACAGGAAGCTGCATCAAAGCAGAATGGCCGGAGGCTGATGCAGATGCTGCCAGTGGCGGCTTCGAGGCTGCTCCGTGTGGACCCTGCTGGCTATTGTCAGGACCCTGTGGTTAGGGTGGGCAGTACCAACATCTGTCAAGCAGTAGAGCTCTGTGTGTCCCGGAAGCCTGATGGCTTCTCAGCAGCTCAGGTTCCCCACATCCTGATGGTCACACATCTGGTTTTCCTCTCCACCTTTTCTGCATCTCTGTACACTGAGCTTTCAGTTTTCTAGTTGCCCTGGTCCAAACGCAGGGGGGGGTGGGGTGGATGATTCTTTGCTTCTTTTTGGCCTTGGCTACCTTCGCCTGTCTGTCTGGTGGGCTGCTTCACCCTGCTCCTGCTGTGGCCACCTGGGTCCTTGCCATTGACATTTCTTGCCCAACTGGGACTCGTTGACTGATGTAGTGCTTTTCTTTCTGTCTTTGTTCTTAGATGGTAGCTTAAAGGGTCGTTAAAAAAACATTAACCAAGGCTGGTGGGTGGGTGAGCGAGGAAGAATGAGGAAGGGAAAGAGGGAATACCACATGCCCTTTAAGGCCAGGTCTGGGCCAGGCTGAAGCCAGGAGCCAGGAACTCCATGCAGGTCTTCCATGGGGGTGGCAGTGGCCCCAGGTCTTAGCCTTAACAGGAAGCTGGATCAGAAGTAGAGCAGCCTGGACTCAGAAAGATGCCCCCGTATGGGATATTGGTATTGTAAGTGGTGGTTTAACCCGTTGTGCCTTAAGATCAGCCTTTGTTTCTGTGTTTTCTGTCTGCCCCTACCCTGTTGAAGAAAGCTTGGAAACTTGGTTTTGCTAACTGCCTTGTGTGCAGTTTGTGTGGGATGTCTTGTGTGGTGAGTGCTCAGTGTTGGTTGAATGAATGAATTCAGTGATCTCTTCTGTTATCTCAGATACTCCTAAATAGCTGCATTGAGATATGATTTATTTGTCATACAGTTAGCTTGTTTTAACTGTAAGATTCTGTGGGTAATTGTGTATTCCCATTTGTGACAGTCTCCACAGTTCTAGGGTGTTTTCATCATGTCAACAAGAAAGCCATCCCTGTTAACTATGCCTGCTCTAATCCAGCCTCCACCCCAGTCCCCCCCCTACATGAGCACTCATCCCGTTTGCTCTGTGGATTTGCCTGTTTGGGACATTTCCTATCAACGGGATTGTTCGCTGTGTGGCCTCCTGTGTCTGGCTTCTTTCACGTAAAATCTCTGGATTTCTGTCTGGATCTCCCAGGTGGGTGGCATTGAACCAAGTGCTGAGCCATCACCCTTTGTCTCCTGGCAGGAAGCTGAATTGTAAGCAGGCACTCTGATAAGGGATGTGGGTTCCGTAAGAGGCAACTTAATTCCTTTTTATGAGCAAATAATAGTTCCCTGGTTGATTATTCAGTTGCCTGGGAAGACAGCAGCTGATGTCCCAAGTGTTTGGGCCCTTGCCACCCATGTGGGAGACTTTGATGTAGCCCCTGGCTTTGGCCTGGCCTGGCCCACCCTAGCTGTTGGAGCCATCTGGAGTGAAGTAGCAGATGCAAGATCTCTGTCTTTCCTTCTCTTTCTGTGACAGGAAGAAAGGACCAAAGGAATGAAGGAGGGAGGGAAGAAAACTAAGCCAGGTTAGGTCTAGTAAGTGGAGGAGCTTGGCTCTGTCCGGGCAGTAGCTTCTGACCGTAGCGTGCTGGGTGGCTCCCGTGGTGCCTGGAGTAGGGTTACCATAGCTCTTTACCCTGCCCTCTCCTTCCCTGTTGTGCAGTGCTTTAATCAGGCCAGTGTTTGATAAGGAAGTCTGTTACAAGTTGGTTAGGTTGTCTGTAGTAGGACTCTGTGTTTAGTGTAGACTTACGTTCATGGGAGCATTTAAAGGCTTTGATCCCATATGGGTGCTGGTTCTAATCCTGGCAGCCCCGCTTTGCATCCAGCTCCCTGCTTTTGGCCCGGGAAGGCAGTCAAGGACGGCCCAAAGCTTTGGGACCCTGAACCCGCGTGGGAGACCCAGAAGAGGCTCCTGGCTTCGAATCGGCATAGCATCGGCCATTGCACTCACTTGGGGAGTGAATCATCGGACGGAAGGTCTTCCTCTCTGTCTCTCCTCTCTGTATATCCGCCTTTCCAATAAAAATTAAAAAAACCTTTAAAAAAAGAGAAGGCTTTGAATTGTCTCGGGATAATCAGACATTAGAAATGATCATCTTAGTAACTTTAAGGGTCCAGGAAGAAACTCCTGCTGGAAATTAGAGAAGGCACTTCTGAAGAGAATGCCATCCACAATGGACTTCAGCATTTATGTTGGTGTTAATTTTTAAGCTTGCTTGGTTGCTTTCACAGAATGACAAAGATGGAAACCAAGAGAAAGGGAAATTTGCTGTCTGGTATTTGGTTCCCAGATGTGTGCAGGAGCCAGGAGCTGGAACTCCTTCTGGGTCCCCTGCGTGGATGAGCCAAGTTCTTGGGCTGATACCGTCTTTCAGGAGCCCGTTAGCAGGAAGTTAGATTACAAGCAGAGGCAGGGTTTGATCTCAGGCACTCCTCAGAGGATGGGGGCAGCTCAAGTCTCTGTGCCACTGCCCTGTTTGTGTTTTGGAAAACACATTATTTTGAGAAAACTTTAAATTCACCCAGAAGTTGAGTAGAAATAATCCCTGTTTACTCTTCATTCAGATTCACCAGTTATTAGTGGTTCATGGAGGCCCTTGTTGTGGCACCGCAGGTTCGGCTGCTGCTTGGGGAGTCTGTGTCCCCTATTGGAACACTGACTGGGGCACCTGCCACTCTGCTGCTGTGCAGCTCCCCGCCAGTGCACCCAGGAAGCAGTGTGGCGCAAGGACTTGGGTTCTTAGCAACCATGTGGGAGACCCAGAGGAATTCCTGATGCCTGGCGTTGGTCTGGCTTAACTCCAGCTGTTGTCATCAGTTGAGCAGAGTGAGCCAGTGGATGAGAGATTCTTCCTCTCTCACTGTGTCTTTCAAACTGATTGGTCACCTGCCAGTTAATCTTTAACAAGAATGTATGGTGGATTCTTGATTTCCTATTGAATTAATGGAGTATAATCTTTTAAAATCACTTTTAAAAATTGAGAGGTGCAGAGAGTGAGTGAGCAAGCAGGTACACTTCCATTCCTTGGTTTGCTTCTCAAATGCCCAATGGCTGGGGATGGGCTGGGCACAAGCCAGGAGCTGGGGAAGCCAATCTTGGTCTCCTTTGGACAGTTAGCCACTGGGTAGAAGATCTCCATCTCTGCTTTCCTCTCTGCCTTTCAAATTGTTTTCTAAAGGTGTGTATGCCTGTGTGTCTTCATAAGCACACATACACACAGGAGCATACATTTTGATTCCTATATCCGTATTATTTATTCCTTGTCTATGTTCAGAATTAAAGTTTGCACTGATGCCTCCAGTTCCAGCCTAACACCACAAAAAGTGCCCTGATTTTCTCCATTTCCATGCTTGTGTCTGCTTCTGCAGCGAGACACTAACAAGTTCATTTGTTGACTTGCTGGCTCCTTCTTATTCCACGTGCTCCGAATCCTGACCCTGTGGCCCCGCCAGAGGACTGTGAATCCTGGCCGCCTCTCCCACAGTGCTGCCAGGATACCAGGCCCCTACCAGGAAGGCCGGGAGGAGCTGGTGACCAAGGAGAAGCAGGGGAAGGTACAGGGAAGCTGCGTCTTTGTCAGCTCTCCCACTCCTGGGGCATCCTAGCAGTGCTGCCATGGGAAGCAGTGCTGACGGAGGCCTTTGTAACTTTATTGCTCTCTTTCTCCAGATGGTTTCACCCAAATATCACTGGTGTGGAGGCAGAAAACCTACTGTTGACAAGAGGAGTTGATGGCAGCTTTTTGGCCAGGCCCAGCAAAAGCAACCCTGGAGACTTCACCCTTTCCGTCAGGTAAGTGGGGAGTTACAGGGAGGATCCAGATAGGGTATGGTCAAGCCACCTGTGGCTGTGAGGTTGAGGACTGCTGTCTGCCCCGCTACAGGGTTGGGGAACAGGGTCCTCCAATGGGGCGCTGTAGGGAGTTCAGCACAAGGGGCCTGTGATGCCCATCTCCCCGCCTCCACCTGCTGGGGCAGAGTTGGACCAACCAGACAGGTCCTGAAGTTCTCCATGCATGATCCTGGGCCCACGCCTCTGGAGCCTGGTTCCTGAGTAGCAAACATCACTTAAGGGTTCTTTTGGATCACTTTGCTTTGTCAAGAAAGAAGACGTGGCTAAGGAAGTTGTGGCCCCCTCTGTTCCTGTGCCTGGCCCCCTCCCCCTCTCTCTCCCCAGAGGAAACCGCCACCGAGAGGCTGGCATGTGTCCTTCCTGACGGCGTTGCTATTCTTGTACCACATTTGCATTGTATAGGAACGACACTGGGGGACTTGGAAAGTTTGTACAAAATAGAATTAAAAGAAATTTATTTTGGAGCATTTTTTAAAAATCCATGCACAGGAGGGATCTTGAAAAAGTTTGTGGACAGTGTGTTACAGAGAAGCTGCATGGGTTGTGAACCCATTTTTGCACCAAAAGAAGCATGTCATTTAATTCCCTTTTCCGTCAACCTTTTAAAATATCCTTACGTAACGTTGGGGTGTGTGTTTTTAAAACTCGAATAAACGGTTTTATAGTGCCTATATCATTTTGTAGCCTTCTCTCCAAGCCTTTACAGTTCTGCACTCGGGCATACAGATCTAAGTATTAATTTGGAAGGCTGTGTAACAGTGACAAGGTGTGACCATCCAGTTGATTGCTGTGGCCTCCTGGTGTCGGACATTGGGTTGTTTTCTGTTTTAGCATTTCATAAGCAGCGTAAAGACATCTTGTTGCCTGTGGAAGTTAGTCTGGGAATTAACTTTGTTCCTTTACTTCTTTAACTAGCTCATTGTTGGAGCTTTGTGGATTAGCATTCTGCATCCTAACTTTTAAATCAAAGGCCGTGTGAAACGCTTCCGTCAGTCCGTCAGGGGCTTTTCTCGTGGCTGGGAAGTCCCTTGCTGGAGGAGAGGTGTCCCTCGAGGAGTTCCTGTCGTTGACTTTTGCTTCTGTTGCACACGAGGAGTGGGGTATAGAGACATGCCCTGTCTCGTGGACTCGTCTTCTGCGTGGACATCTGAGCTGTAAGGGCTTGGATGGAGGTCACAGCATGATGGGGCTGGTGCTGGTGGTGGTGGCAAACTCTCCTGAGGCTGACACGGTGGCAGCCATGCTGACACCTGCATGGTTTGTGCTGTTTCATGTCACAGCATCCTGTGACTGGGTACCTTATTATCGTCATTGCAGATGACGTTAGTGAAAATCACCAAGCGGCTGAGCCGCAGAGCTGCGACTCCAGGGTTTCTTTTTTTCTTTCCTTTCCACTGACCTTTCATCTTGAGAAATTTCAGACCTCGGAAAAGTTGAAAGATGAATACAGTAACCAGCCACCTTCCCTTCAGCTGTTGACACTGGCCAGCTTTACTCTTTTCTCTTTGTGACGGTGCTTTTGTAGAAATCTCACTCACGCACACACACAGCCGCCAAAAACGAATAATAAAAAAGAGAGAGTAAACAATAAGATCAAAACAGAAGAAGCAGGGCCCGGTGCCGTGGCCTAGCAGCTAAAGTCCTCGCCTTGAACGCGCCAGGGTCCCAAATGGGCACCAGTTCTAATCCCGGCAGCTCCACTTCCTATCCAGCTCCCTGCTTGTGGCCTGGGAAAGCAGTCGAGGACGGCCCAAGGCTTTGGGACCCTGCACCCGTGTGGGAGACCCGGAAGAAGTTCCTGGATCCTGGCTTCGGATTGGCGCAGCACTGGCTGTTGTGCTCATTTGGGGAGTGAATCATCGGATGGAAGATCTTCCTCTCTGTTTCTCCTCCTCTCTATATATCCGCCTTTCCAATAAAAATAAATAAATCTTAAAAAAAAAAAAAAACAAAAACAGAAGCAGTGCAGGTGTGCTTTGCATGTGGACAAGTGCTGTGTTTGCCCTGAACCTTCCCAAGGTAAGATGCAGGTCGGACAGCACTTGTTTTCACTGCCCCATACGGCAGCGTGAAGTTTTGAATTTTTACATGTAGATTTGATGTTGATAGATATGTAGAATATTGATTGATAAAATCTGATCATCCATATCTAAATTTCCTTCGTGATTACAATGATTTTTTAAAGAATTTATTTAGTATTTATTTTTCTTTAGTTGAAGGACAAAGGGAAGGAGGCAGGTAGACAAAGAATGAGATCTTGCATCTGCTGGTTTACTTCCCCAAATGCTGAGCCCTGGCTGCAGTCAGGAGCCAGGCACTGAGTCGGACTCCACCCCCATGAATAGCAGGGACCCAGGTTCTTGCTGTCGCCTGCTGCCTCCGGGGGACACATTAGCAGACAGCTGGAGTTAGAAGCAGGGCCAGGGCTGGGGTCCGGCACTCGGACAGGAAATGCCGGCGTCTCCATCAGCGTCTTCACCGCTGTGCCAGACGTTTGCTGTTGTAATGGATTTTAAATTCCAACTCTCTCGGACCTGTTGAGGAGCTTCCTTGCATGAAATCATTATCTTTCTGCTTTCCTTTCATTTTTTTTTTTGTTAAGATTTATTTATATTTCGTTGGAAAGTCAGATTTACAGAGAGAAGGAGAGACAGAGAGGAAGATCTTCCATCTGCTGGTTCACTCCCCAAATGGCCACAATGGCTAGAACTGAGCCGACCCAAAGCCAGGAGCTAGGAACGTCTTCCAGGTCTCCCATACAGGTGCAGGGTTCTGAGACCCTGGGCCGTCCTCAGCTGCTCTCCCAAGCTACAAGCAGGGAGCTGGATGGGAAATGAAGCAGCAAGAATATGAACTGGCGCCCATACGGGATCCTGGCTCATGCGCATGAGTTTGGCCACTAGGTTACTGCACCGGGCCCTCCTTTCATTTCATCAGTGGCAGGGGCCTAAACATGTGGGTCCTCTTCCACTGCTTTCCCTGGGCATAATAACAGGGAGCTGGATCACAAGTAGAACAGCCAGGACATAAATTGGCACCTGTACAGGATTCAGCTGTCACAGACTGACTTCACTTGCTGTACCCCTTCCTTTGATTTTGAGCGGCTCCCTCTGCTGGTGTTTCACGTTTGCTTTGTCTTGTTTGTCATCTTGGCATTGATGTTTAGGCTGATCTCTTCACAGGTTCTCCCCGCATCTGGACTTGCCAACCATTTCCTCATTTTTAGGGTCAGTGTAACGTTTCTGGCAAGCATACTACCTAGAGGAAGTTGGCCCATCTGATGATTTCATACGAGAAGGCCTGTGTTAGCTGCATCCTGTTAGATCACTTCATTTTTGGGGGTTGTATTCAGTTTAACCACTTGGTTAAAGTGTTGCCAGATTTTTTTGTTACTATGGGGAAAAAAAAGACTTTTCCTGTTATAATGTTTTGTGATCTGTGAGATGAGATTCTGTGATGTTTGTGTAGTCTCTTCTCAACCTCTTTTCATGGAGTTCCTGCATTCTGCCTAAGTGTTTGTACCAGCAGTCACATGGTAATTCAGAAAGCTGCGAGACATTAAAGCTATGTAGTGTATAGGGAGTTGTTTGGTATATAGGGGGCACGTGGTCCTCGACCCTCTAGGATCACCTTTAGAAAGCCCTGACGCTGGACCATGTACTCCACCCTCAACACCCAGTCCAGCCCACTTCCGTCTCTCCTTGGAGGCTGCATCTTCTGATACCATCAACCAGTAGTCTGTGACCAGTTGGCCTAAGGAAGTTTTGGGGTTTAAACTTTTCAGGAGTTTGGGGAACCAAATAGCTGAGTTGGCTGGACAGTAAGGTACTGTGTAGTTACGTGATCCCTTGAATACTGAAGACAATAATCATTGTCACGTTGACCGAGCGTTCAGAGTAGCAGATACACAAAGGGTGGAGACGAGCAGTGTCTCGGGTGGTTGGCTGTGTGTGGTCGTCTTACCCATCACGTTTGTTACAGCGAAGTGGCAAATTCATTCTTTCCTTAGGTTTATCTCAACATTTGGGTGAAGTCTAATATCAAATGCGAGATCTGTTTTTACTAGTCTAACTCTTTGTGTCTCCCTCCGTTTCCCCTGGACTATTTTAGAAGAAATGGAGCTGTCACCCACATCAAGATTCAGAACACTGGCGATTACTATGACCTGTATGGAGGGGAGAAGTTTGCCACTTTGGCTGAGCTGGTGCAGTATTACATGGAACATCACGGGCAACTGAAAGAGAAGAATGGAGACGTGATTGAGCTCAAATATCCTCTGAACTGTGCCGATCCTACCTCTGAGAGGTCAGTGGCCTGGTAGGGACCACACGGTCCTTTCCTTCTGGCGCCGCGTGTGTTACCTCAGTGCACCCTGGGGAGCCGCGGGTGACCGGATGGCTCCCGAGGCTGGTGTCTGTGTCTTCTTAGTGTCATTCAAGTGAAACTAAATTGGATCAAGTGATTCTCAGAGCGACCTTTCCTTGTGCTAATCTGAGTCAGTGTTACTTAGGCTCCTTCTGCAGGGTCTTGGGCTGTTCTGGAACATACTTGGTACATGCAGTGTATGTGAGATTTGTTCCCTTGGGTTGCAGCTCTTGGAGAGTAATTAGAGGAAGCTCTGATCACGGAGACGCCAGAGCAGCCGTAGCAGCAGCTCTCCAGGGCTGCTCCTGGCCAGTCATTCAGCACTACCGCCAACAGATGTCACCTCAAGCCCAGAAGTGGAAAATCAGGGTGCTCAGAAAGTCATCTTGGTCATCCATTCTCTGAATGCTGTATTTGCAAAAGTGTGGGCATGGCCTTCCCTTAACTGCATGAATTTAGAGATTGCTCCCTGGTGTAGAGCTAAGCCGATCCGAGCTGGGGCTCTACTGATGTACTGGGATTGTGGTGGGATTCTGCATTCCCAGCCTGCTCTGTCAGCCAGGGTCTCTTAATGAGGGCTGGCTGTTTGTATCTTGAGGTGCGCATTTTTCCATCCTACCCCGTTATGTCGGTGCTGTTGTGTGCTGGATAATTTGTGCCTCTGACTTCATTGTGTCTCCCAGCAAAAGGCAGTCAAGCAGCTCTGCCGTTTGTTTCTGCCCTGCAGCCTTTTCAGTGACTCAGGGTCCCTGCCTTTACTGATGGGCTGTTAGCACTGCCTGCCTTGATCTCCTAAGCAGAGAAGTCACCTTCCTCATGTTCCCCATAGCGACCTGGAGCGTGTGGTCCCGAAGTCTGTCCTCAGATGACTATTGCTGGCCTGCGTTAGGACTCTGTTCTGCTGGCCAAACCTGGAGATTTTTGGGGCCCATTCGGCTTAAGTGCCTGGATTGATAACTCTGAGTGTGGAGTGTGAGGATTCACATTTTTAGGGAATCTCTCATACCTACTCCCCAGGCCTTAGTGTGCACTGAAATTTAAGATGGTAGCCCACCATACAGTCTGCTCATGTGGATAGTCAATATGGAGGCTGTTGAAGTTGGACAGATGGAAACATTGAGAATGTTTGAGTTTATTTACATCAAAGATCCTTTTTAATCTTTGCTAATGCAAGGACAAATGTTTAAAATGATTTCATGTCTCTATCACAACTTGTAAAGATTGTTTTTTTATTAGGAAGATACACACACAATGAAAGAAACAATCTACCAGCCATTGATTCCCTGTCCTGATTCCTCTGACAGCCAAGCCTGGGCCGGGCTGAAGCCGGGGACTCGGCCTAGGTCTCCGGTGTTGGCGGCAGGGACTCAGCTGCTTGGGCCGTCACCTCCTGCCTCCCAGGGTGCATTAACAGGAAGCTGGGACGGAAGCCCAGACACTCCGATAGGGGCTGGGGCATCCTAAGGGGTGTCCTGCTGCTGTGCCAGATATCTGCCCCTAAAACATTTTATTAACAACTTCTTCAAATGGCTGTGATTAAATAATTGGGCTGTTAAGAGCTGGACAATCCAAAAGGGCAAATTACATCTTTAAAAAATGAGAGCTTTAATAGAAAAAAGGAAGACATTTGTCTCCAAATGAGTGTGGACTCATTGAAGAAGTTGAGTGGTTGTTGTAACATTTTTGTCCTTTCCTGTCTTCTTGGCCTGAATATATAGATTTACACGAGGTTGATCAGTCCCTTGCAGGAACTGATTCTTCATTGAGCCAACTGAATATGGTCGTTTTAGTTCTCTTTTTTTTCCCCCTGTTTTAAATTTATGTAAACTTTCTATATAATCTTCCATACAGTGCCATGCTTAAACGTTTCTTCAGCACTGAGAAGGTTGTGTTCCAGGAGATACATGTGGGATGGTGCTATGAAATGCATGAACATGATCTGCAAAATACTTTATAAAGTTGCAAGACCAAAAAAATTAGTTAAGTGGTATATAGAGCATACCTGTGGGTGCCTTGAGGGAGGTTCACCTGCTGAAGCTGTGGATTTCCGCCTGGGCGGGCTGGAGTATGTATGGTCACTTCATGGAGAATGTCGTGAACTGATGGTGGAACTCGATCCGTTCTCATTCCTGGTGCTGTTAGGTGGTTTCATGGACACCTCTCTGGGAAAGAAGCAGAGAAATTACTGACCGAAAAGGGAAAGCATGGCAGCTTCCTCGTACGAGAGAGCCAGAGCCACCCTGGAGATTTCGTCCTCTCTGTCCGCACTGGCGATGACAAAGTGGAGAGCAATGATGGCAAGTCCAAGGTGACCCACGTCATGATTCGCTGTCAGGTAAGGCCCTGGCTGGCCTGCAAGGAGGAGACGGACCCTGGGGCCTCCCGGGCTGGCCTGCCAGGAGGAGACGGACACTGGGGCCTCCTGGGCCAGATTAGCTGATTAGGGCAAGGGCGTCAACACCCGTAGTCTATGGTTGATCTGATCATGTCAGCATTTCAAAATTCTACTGAATTATCTACTTGCAGTTTATCTCTGGCAGATTAAATCATGCCTCACCATCATCGTCCCACTTCCATGGTTTTGAGATCTGCTGTCTTAGCAAGTTCAAGTATAACAAGACGTTGTTATTAGCTGTGGCTGCCGTGTGTGTGTGTGTGTGTGTGTGTGTGTGTGTGCGTGTGTGTGTGTGTGTGTGAGTGAGGTCTCCAGAGCTCCCCCTTTTTTCCGAAAGTGTTGATGCTTTGGTCCACGTTTCCCCTTTGCCATCACTGTTCTGCTCCCTGCCACCATGAGTCTGCTTTTAGCTCCCGCTGGTAGGTGAGCTTTCGTGGTGCTTTGCCTTTGCCTAGCCTGTCCTCCAGTTTCATCACTTTTGTCACGGATGTCCATCCAGAGTTGCTTCCCCCGCAACCTTGCACACTCTTTGGGTCAATTTTCCAGTGTTTGTGCATACGGCTGTTCACATACATACTCCACATTTTTATTCATTTGCTGGTGGACACTTAGGTTGTTTCTGAATCCAGGTGGTCATGCATGTTGCTGCAGCGAACACCAGAGTGCAGGAAGGACGGTCATTTAACACTGAGGTAATATACACCATCCCTTTGTCTCAAGGAACTGAAGTACGATGTTGGTGGAGGAGAGCGCTTTGATTCTCTGACAGATCTGGTGGAGCACTACAAGAAGAACCCCATGGTTGAAACTCTGGGCACTGTGCTACAACTTAAGCAGGTGAGCAGGTCGGGAAGCTACAGCCGCTTCTCCATTTGAGAATTTGAAACTCCCAATTTACAATTTTGCAGACTTACAGAAGGAGACTGAGTGGAATTGCCAACCTTCATGTGCTCATTCTCCATCTTCAGTTATGGCTGCCCAGCAGGTCCTTCCTCCTCCAGCACTCTGCTTGCTGGTCCCCTCTACAGCTTTTGGAGACAAAGTCCAGGGGCTGTGGTGTTTCCTGTGTGTCTGCAAAGAGCCTGATGGGTTTTGTTTTAATTTTTATTTTTTCATGCTGCAGTTTAATAGGCTCCCAATTTCCCTTCCCACTGATGAAGTTCTTAAAGGAAATTTTCAGCGTGGGGCTGCCCTGGGTGGATAGCACACGGACTGTGGAGTGGTGGCTGTTTCAGAGGTCACCCTTATGACAGAGACAGTTGGTATTTTCTCTAAATAATGTTGTGATCTCTTTGTGAAGAAAAATAGTGTTGAGGGCCCGGCGTGGTGGCGCAAGTGGTTAAGGTTCTCGCCTTGCACGCCCGGGATCCCATATGGGCGCCGGTTCTAATCCCGGCAGCCCCGCTTCCCTTCCAGCTCCCTGCCTGTGGCCCGGGAAAGCAGTCGAGGACGGCCCAAGGCTTTGGGAACCTGCACCCGCGTGGGAGACCCGGAAGAGGCTCCTGGCTTCGGATCGGCATAGTATTGGCCGTTGCGCTCACTTGGGGAGTGAATCATCGGACGGAGGATCTTCCTCTCTGTATATCCGCCTTTGCAATAAAAAAATAATAAAAATAAATCTTAAAAAAAAAAAAACAGCGTTGGATTTTTATCAACAGAGAGCAGTGTGGTATGTGTGGAAATGAAGAACATTTCATCTCCTAACAGTGCAGTAGAGGTGAAACTGTATTTGGAAACCTGAAAAGTTATTTATCTATTTTTATTTTTAAGGCAGAGAGACAGAGGTGGAAAGTATTCTGTCTATTGATTCCCTCCCTAAATAACCCTAACTATCAGGAGTCTAGAACTCCACCTGGTCTCCCATACCAAAGTCAGGGACCCGCATGCTTGGCCGTCCTCTGCTGCCTCTCAGGGTGTGAGCTAGCAGGAAGCTGGGTCAGTAGTAGAGCCAGGAGCAGAACTCCGACATGGGAGACAGGTGTCTGAAGACCAGATTCCTGAATCTGAAGGTTGTATTGTGGAATACAGTATTGCAAGAGTCTGGTCTTTGCCTCCACGAACATTGATGTTGACATAACTAACTTTTCCTTTTCTTCTTTGATGTTGTTTTCCTTCATTTTACATCAACTGCTGAACTTGGTCAGCCTCTCAATACAACTCGTATTAATGCTGCTGAAATAGAAAGCCGGGTTCGAGAACTAAGCAAACTAGCTGAGACCACAGATAAGGTCAAGCAAGGCTTTTGGGAAGAATTTGAGGTAAGTTCTAAAAAAAAAAAGCAAAAAAACTTTTCACATGAAGTTGTTGTCTCTTGTTTTTGATTGAAGAAAAAGTTGGTGTTGTTTTTGAACTTGGATCTGATGGACTTGAATCTGACCTGCTGTCTTAGTTCAACCACTCATTGACGTGCGACAAGCTGCTGAGAGAGTCTCTTTGATATAGAAGGGTGTGTGTTCCCAGAGAGTGAGCTGGCAGTTAGTACAGCGGACGAGCCAGCATCTCCATTTGGCTCTTCTGGTTTGGGCCACTGGCAAAACCCCAGAAAAACTAAAGTGTCTCTCTGGAGGGCTTCCAGTGTTGGCTGAGGTCTTCAGAAGCTTATAGCCTTATTGCATCACATTGAATACATCTAACAGAAATGGCTCATGTTGCCTTTAACTTGGGACTCAAGTTGGTAACTTAGGGAAGTTAAGTGAACTGATTTCCCCCTTTCCTGGCCAAATGACTTGCTTAGACGTTGTCCATGATGGGAGCCTAGTTCTGTCACATACTCCTATGTCACTCGCCGTTGATATCATCTCTCTGTCTTCGTCCATTTGACTGAAGACCTCTTCAGGGGGAAAAATTCTGGCATATTCATCTGTATGGTTATCCTCAGTACACAGTATAGTCCCTTGCACACAGCAGAAATCTGATTCATGTTTGTTGAATGAATATTTATATTTAGCTAATGCTTACATAATTTAAAAAGCTTATTTATTTAGTTTATCTGAGGCAGAATGAATGAGAGAGAGATAAGCATCTCCTATCTGCTGGTTTACTTCTCAAATTCCCAGAACAGCTGCGGCTGGGCCAAGCTGAAGCCAGGAGCCAGGGCCTCAGTCTGGGACTTGCAAGTGCCAGGACCTGCATGCATGACGAAGCTGGATTTGAAGCAGGACAGCTAGGGCACAACCCCCTCCTTGATGTGGATTCCAAGTGGCTCAAGCACAGTTTAACCTGCTGCCCTGTAACACCTGCCCCCTCAGACCTTATTGTTAGGATTCTGATTAGCATATTTGACACCAGCAAAATACAGCTATTAGTTAAAGTTAAAATTTTTGTTAAGTATAAGGAAATAGTTATTTTGTAATCTGAATTCTTTTTGGTCTTACATTTAATTTAGAAATAATGATCTTTGCATAAATGACTTCTCTTTAAAGTGACTATGACTTTAAAATTTATAGCAGTGAGATAGAACAGCAGCATTTTCCTTTTTTTTTTTTTTAAGATTTAAAAAATTTTATTTGAAAGATAAAATTGTAGATAAGGAGAGAGAGAGAGAGATCTGTCCATTGGTTTATTCCCTAAATGGCTGCAATGGCTGGGGTTGGGGCCAGACAGGAGTCATGAGCTTCTGGATCTCCCACGTGGATGCAGGTGTCCACGAACTTGGGGCATCTTCTGCTGCTTTCTCAGGCACATCAGCAAGGAGCTAGATTGGAAGTGGAGCAGCTGAGACGTGACCCGGCATCCATATCGGGTGTCTGCATCACAGGCAGTGACTTTGCGCACTGTGCCACAGTGCCAGCCCTGAATGATAGCACTTTGTTGGTTAGGGGGGCACCTGGATGTAACTCCGGGGTCTGACTCTGGAGGTACCGGGTGATGGTACTGCCTGTGAGGGAGGCCTGGATTGAGTCACCAGCTCCTGGGTTTGGCCTGGCCCGGTCCTGGATGTTGTGGGCCTTTAGGGAGCTAAGTAGTGAATGAGGTCTTTCTCAAATAAATTTAGAAAATAAAAATAAACAAAGTACAGATATCGGACAGTAGTGGATTCTTTAACACTGAGTTCATTTAGGACAGTGCTTAGGGAAACAGACAAATCTTCCCAGATAGGGTTAGTATTGTGGTGTAGTGGGTAAAGCTGCTGCCTACAGTGCTGGCATCCCAGTTGGGCTCTAGTTTGAATCTGGACTGGACTAGGATTCTGATCCAGCTTCCTATTGATGCTGCTGAGAAAGCAGCAGAAGGTGGCACAAACGTCTGGGCCCTGCAGCCGCGTGGGAGATCCGGAGAAGGCTCCTGGCTCTGGCATGGACCTGCTCTGGCAATCGGCAGCCATTTGGGTAGTGAACCATCGGATGGAAGACCTCTCTCTCTGTAACTCTGCCTTTCAAAAAGTAAAACAAACTTTTAAAAAAGATTTATTGATTCTTAATTGGAAAGGTAGATTTATAGAAAGAAGGAGAAGCAGAAAGATTTTCTACCCGCAGGTTCACTCACCCTAATGATCTATCTGAAAATCTGTGGAAAGTTCTTCCTGCACAGCAGTGGCGTCTGGCAAGACTGACTTGCAGGTCAAGGAAATGACAACTTGGAAACTTTGGTTATTCAGACTGAGCTCATCTAAAAAATGTGGATAACCGTATCATTGTCAGGGTTCTCCCTATGTTCTGTTTTATTTTGGTCCAGGTTTTAGCCATATAAACACTTGAGTTATGAGCTGCATGTTGAATATTGCATTTTGAACCAAGTCAAATATCAGTTTAAAACTCTGACTTTTCTCCCTGTCTGAAATTCAGATAAATGAAATGGGAATAAAACAGGGCTGTGTATTGTGAAATATCAGTTCTTTCTCTCCTTGTTGAAGGTTAGCCATCTTGGCTTATGTAAAAATTGTTTTTCCCTTCAGCATGCCTTTTACTTTCATGAATTGCTGGTTTGAGATTTCCCATTAAAATCTAGGCTTGATGGAAACCAAAGGCCTCTTAAGGAGGCACTCTGATAACTGCGAGAAGGAACTGTGTGTCTTGAATTTGCACCTGCTGGGCTCATCCGTCTTCATGTCCGATTCTGCAGCTGGTACCTTCTCTTCATCCCCATGTTCCTTCTTCCAGTGGGCTAAACCCCACTGTGGCTGTGTGGCTTGGTCTGTCTGCTTTTCCTGATGGCAGTGCCACCTTTTTCCTTTGGAGATGTCCTTCCTGGCGATTGCCTTAGGAGACTGAGCTGGCTCTGTCCTTGGATTTGTTTAGTCTTACCAGGTTCTGCTGGGGAGACCATGGGAGAGCAGGTGTCTGTGTAGATGCAGGCTGTCTACCTGGGACGCTAATTTGGATTTTTTGGCCTGGGCAGGTGGGAAGGGGGCACAGTTTTCTAAGCTTTGCTAATGGGCATTACATGCCCATTCCCCAGTGGCGCCAAAGCTACTTCCATTGTCTTCCAGTATCCCAGTCTAAGAGCTGGTCAGTGGTTTGCTGTAAGTTCATCAGTGTTCAAGCAGGCAGATCCTAAATGTCTCAAGAACATGGTCACATCTAATACTTGTCTACACCAATAAAAGTTGGTGTGTCTAATCTAAAAATGCAGAAACTAGCAGAAAAAATTCTATGCCTTGAAACTTTGTTTTGTGTACAAAATTATTAGAAAATATGTATCGTATACTTTACACTACTTGTATAGATCTGAAACATACATGCCTTTAATGCTTAGGCTTCAGTGTTATCCCCAAGATATCTCATTATGTGTCTACAAATATAACAAAGTCTTAAAAAAATTCTGTAACCCAAGCCTGCACATTTTTGGATAAGGATACTTGTAGTCATTAGTTTTCATTCTTAATGTTATTTTCAAATTGTGAAACTGCTGCTTGCAACAGCAGCATCCCATATCCAGTGCCCGCTCAGGTCCTGGTGCTCCACTTCCAGTTGAACTCCCTGCTCTTGCCCTGGGAAAGCAGTGGAAGGTGACCCAAGTGCTTGGCTCCTTGCCACCCACACAGGAGGCCCAGATGGGGCTTCTGGCCTCTGGCTTCGGCCTGGCCCAGTCTTGGTCGTTTTGGAAGGGAACCAACGGGTGGGAGATAATCTCTGTCTCTGTCTTATCTTTGAAAACAGTTTCTCTGTGAGCTCTTTGAAATACCCTCATATTTACCCATTAGAGAAAATTAAGGGAACAAATTTGAGGGAAAAGACAATTAAAAAAGCGAAGAAGAAGGAAATTTCACGATCCCACCATTCTGGGGGAAAGACAACAATCGCTATCGCCCTTGCAGTGTGAGCCCTCCTGTTGCCCTTGCAGTGTGAGCCCTCCAGCTGTTTCTCTTTCAGAGACGACCACAAGCGTGCAGCTCATGCCAGGCTCTGGTGTGGAAGTCCGGCCATTTCACTTTACTGTGAGCTTTTTCCAAGCTATTAGGTGTTATTCTGCTAGAATCAATAACAACAACAAAAAAAAAAAAAAAAAAAAAAAAGGAAGAAAGAAAGAAAAAAGCTGGAACTGGGCCACACAAAAGCCAGAACCCAGGAAGCCCATCTGGTTCTCCGTTTTGGGTGCTGCAGGCCCAATTTTCTGCTGCTTCTCAAGTTTGTTCATAGGCAGCTGGTTAGAAAATGGAGATAGGGCTCAAACCCAGCCACTCTGGCATGGGTTGTGGGCATTCTGAGCAATGGCCCAACCCGTGGCACATTCTAGAACATGTTTTTAAATGACCACAGAGCATACTTCTGTGTGAATGAATGATAGATAAGGAGGGCTAGAAATAGAGGTCTTACTTGCTGGCTTACTCTCCGAGGGTCTGCATCAGCTAGAGCCGGGATGGGGCCACATCCAGGAACTAGGAACTCAATCCTGGTCTCGTGTAGGTGACAGGAACCCAGTTTCTTTGCTGTTATTTCTGTTTCAGTGGTCCACATGAACTGGAATCAGACCAGAACCGGAATTTGTCCTGAGGCACCGGGATGTCAGAGGCAGGCAGTGCAACTGTCAGGCTTGGTGCTCACCTCTGAACCACACTTTGACCAGGCAGCTCTGACCCACTGGACATTTTAAAATTTAGCGTTTAAAAAGTTCTTGTCACTTGATGTTGTTTTGTTCACAAGAGCATTCTTGTAGCCACCTCACCTGACTGTTCGTGAGGATGAGCTCAAAGCGGAACACAGAGCCGGGATTGCTGTGGTTATTGTTTTCTGGAGAGTGGAGGGTGACTGCAATGTGATGTTTCCCTTTCTTCCTAGACTCTACAGCAACAGGAGTGCAAACTCCTTTACAGCCGGAAAGAGGGTCAGAGGCAAGAAAATAAGAACAAGAATAGATATAAAAACATCCTGCCCTGTAAGTATCCAGCCTGCCCTGTGCTGGTCACTATAGCTCGGATGGCATAATGTGTCCCTAGACCTCCTCCTGGGGGACAGGCTGGCAGATGTTGGCCCAAAGCCTCTGAATTGTAAGCGGTTTCCACAGTCTACTGCAGTGGGAATGGGAGGCCTCACTCAGCGAGCTCCTATGATGCTGGTGACTGAATAACATTGCCACCAGGGGGCTTTGGCTGTGGTCACTTCCTTCTGTCAGTTTGTTAGCCAATCAGTTGATTTTTCTGCCTGCGTGGCTTGTGATCACTCAGTGGCAGGCTACTGCCCAAGCCTCAGGGATTCAGATTTATGTCTGTTTGTAAGTCTTGGGTCAGGTGTACCTCCTTTCTGGGCCTCCAACTGTCTCACTGGCAACAGCCAAATTCCTTGTGGTTCCTTTAGCTGCTGTGCTCACCTACTCTTGGCTCAGAAGACACTTTGGGCTTGTTTCTGGTTTCTGTTGTGAAACACCAAAGACAGGCTACTCCATAAAGGAAAGAGATCTATGTTGGCTAATGGTTCTGAATGTCCAAGGCTGAGGGGCCACGGCTGGTGTGTTGCTGACCCACTGTGTGGCTGGAGACAGGGTGTGTGTGTGTGTGTGTGTGTGTGTGTGCGTGTAGGCGTTGGTCTCTCTCTGTTCTTACAGAGTCTGCAGGATTCAGTCATGGAGGTTTTGCCCTGATGACTTCGTCCAGTCCTGTTCCCTCCCAGAGGTCCCAGCTCTGAACACTACAGCCAGGTCACATTTCAGTGATCTCCTGCCTCACTCACAGTGGGGTTTAAGTTCAGCACATGGATTGTTGAGGGACAGACTTGAACCATGTCTAGACCATGGTAAGGGCTTCGAGAGCATTCAGAAAGCTGTGCCTCCTGTAACACCCAAGTGGTGTGAGGTGGAGGTCAAGTTAAACTGTGAGGGGGCAGGTCCTTAATGAATACTCCAGAATGACTCAAAACATCGTAGCTCTTCTCTCCCAAGGGCTAAGTCTATACCAAACTCTGCGTCTGGGCCTCTGTTCACCTGTGCTGCATACCTGAAACAGGCGCATTTATCATAGGCCTCATAGACCTTTTGGTCAAGGTTGTAGTCAAAATGGAGAAGCTGAGGTGCAGCTGGCTTTCAGGCAGGATGGGCCATGCAAGGCAATGCACTGGAGGGAAGCGGAGGAGACTTTAGAACTTCTGTTTACTTACAGGTTTTATTTAAAAGAAAAAAAAAGAAAAGTTTGATGTCTAGATTGATACATTTACAGTATGTTTATCCAATGAAAACATAAGGCTTATTTGTATCTATGTTGCATATATGTGTTTCAGTGTTTGAAAGTTTTTGATTGGGGTGTATGATCAAAGTGGTCAGAGCCAGTTGGGCAGATATTGTGAACCCAGCCTGTGTGTATGTGTCTATACTCTCTGATCTGTCCCCCAAGTTATTTTGAAGCAAATCTCAGATCGCATGGCATTTCTCTGTACATTTATCTTTTTAAAAATAAAAGATTTTTGTAATTTCTGTTTTGAAATTACAAAGATAGTATAGCAGATCCTCACATACCTGTCTTCAGTGTCCTTTGTGATCGTTGTACCACATACCCATAGTATGTTACTAAACACAGGAAATTCTGGAGAAAGCATGACCGGGTCTCATGTGGCATTTACATGACTGGTGTGTGTGTGTGTGTGTGTGTGGCTTTATCATTGCGTGAACAAAACTTAGACTAGTTGAGGTGTGGCTGATTTGAACAGATGTGTCCCGGAACACTGTGTATCTGGAGGTGACTGTAGTCTCCTTGCCTTGCAGTTGATCACACCAGGGTCGTGCTCCACGACGGGGACCCCAATGAGCCAGCCTCGGATTACATCAACGCAAACATCATCATGGTAAGCTTGGCTGTGCCCGGTGTTTTCCGATTGCACGTTGCTGGCCTTTTCCTGGGTTCTGTGTCCTTCTTTGTGTCCTCAAAGCAATATTCTAGTGTTCAAAGGACTTTCTTCCTAAAATCCTAGCCTGAATTTGAAACCAAGTGCAACAATTCAAAGCCGAAGAAGAGTTACATTGCCACCCAGGGCTGCCTGCAGAACACAGTGAATGACTTCTGGCGGATGGTGTTCCAAGAGAACTCGCGTGTGATCGTCATGACAACGAAAGAGGTGGAGCGAGGGAAGGTATGTCCTGGCATCCCCTCTCAGGAGCTGTTTGTAAGTACCTGACAGTCCAGGTTTGCTGTATTAGGAAATGGATAAACAAATTATGCATGCTCTATGTTACCTTCCAGAAAAAAAAAAACCAGACCAGAATAGATTTGATTAGGATTTATGTACCTTGGTGTAATTTTTGTTGTTTTGCTTACTTGAGGCTCATGAAGCTGTGGAGCTGGTAGTTATTTCAAATATGGGTAATGTCCAGCCTTATGTCTTCGGGTATCTTCCTTGTCCTGGCCCAAGCCCCTAGTTACTTGTTTAAAAAAAATATATGTATTTTAAAATTTATTGGAAAGGCGACTCTTGCATCGTTGGCAGGGGCCTGACTGCTTGGGTCATCTTTTGCTTCTTTTACAGTACATCAGCGGGGAGCTGAATGGAGCAGCCAGGGCTTGGACCGGCACTCCTGATCTAAAATGCCCAGTGATGCCTGTGGCGTGAGCAGTGGCTTGGCCCAGTGCATCACAGTGCCAGTCTTGTGAATCAGTTCTTTTTCTGCTCTGTGTTTAGTTTTGGATGATTTCTTCCACAATATATAATCTGTTCTTAGTGTATCCAGTATATTTTTCATAGCAAACATTCGATTTTTTTTTTAATCTCAGGAAGTCTTATGTGGGTCTTTTAAACATCTTCATTGTCTGCTTTTAACATGTGCAGCATTCCCCGTGTTCTGTGAACGTGCGATCTCTTTATAATGCCCATTTTAATGTCCTTGCCCTTTAATTGTCATATGTATCATTTCCTCCCCCTGCCCTTTTTAAGACTTATTTGTTTTTATTGGAAAAGCAGATTTTCAGAGGGAAGGAGAAAAAGAAAGATCTTCCATTTGTTTCACTCCCCAAATGGCTGCAATGGCTGGAACTGAGCTGATCTGAAGCCAGAAACTTTTTCCAGGCCTCCCATGTGGGTGCAGGGTCCCAAGGCTTTGGGCCGTCCTCTTCTGCTTTCCCAGGCCACAAGCAGGGAGCTAGATGGGAAGAGGGGCTGCCGGGTTTAGAACTGGTGCCCATGTAGGATCCTGGTGCATGTAAGGCAAGGACTTTAGCCACTAGGCCACTGCGCTGGACCCCAGGCCCTCTTTTTCTTTTTTAAATTAAAGCCATTTTAATTAGCTAATTTGTTTGAGAGAATGAGCAAGAGAGCGAGCAAGCTCCTATGTGCTGCTCCTCCTTCAAATAACCGTAGCAGCTGGGACTGGGCCTGGGCTGAAGCTGGGGACTGGGGATGCAGTTTACACATCCCCCAGGTGGGTGGCAGGAATTCATTCATCTGAAGTATCACGGCTACCTCCCAGTTTGTGCATTGAAGGGGGTGTAGTCAGGAGCTGGAGCCAGGTGCTGAACCCCTATTTCTGATGGGAAACGTGAGTGTCTTAACCTTGGGGTAAATAAATTTCCGTCTTCCTAATAGGCAACATAAATTTCTCTTGCTGATATTTGTGTCTCAGAGGATTTGGGAAGTGCATAGTACAGTTGGCCATTGCTAGAAAAAAACAAAACATAAAAGCATTTTCTGCCCAGAACACATCACCAAATAGATAGAAAGTCTCTCTGAGCAAAATAGCTTCCCTGTTGGCAACAGGATGATTTCCTGACTGTCACGCTTCTCAGTGCGCCTGCTCCTGACGTCCACGGCGACCGCAGATGTGGCATCCCCAGGCCCTCAGTTCAGGGAAAGTGACGCATGTGGTGGGTATCAGATGGGTCTGGATATAGAAAAAGCCCGAGAGGCTGCCTTTTCGTGACAGAGTTGTTCACACTTGGGTTAGAGAAGGCGCCGAGTCCTCCTACACAGTGCGGAAACAAACCAGACAGTCTGGCTTGGTGGGCAGCCCCGCCACCTCCACATTCTTGCTTCCCTTCCCTTCCCCTTAGAGTGACTGGCAGATCTCTAGAACTCAAAAATCAGTGGTGCTAGATAGCACCCAACTGGTGGGTCCCTCTGTCCCTTGGAGACGAACAAACGTTGACCTTGACTCGTGACTTTCCCTTTCCGCTTCCGCCCGCTTCTCCAGGCATCTACTTTTCTTATTTGAACTCTACCTTCCTTTTAATTTGTTGATTTCCATTTTGTTTCAAAGGCAGAGAGTCAGATAGAGTTGTTCCGTACCCTAGTTGACCTCACAGATGTCTGCCTCAGCTAAGCCAGGAGCCAGGAACTCAGTGTGACTCCCTTACATGGGTGGCGGGCCCCCAAGTCCTCGGACATGTAGCTCTCTGATACGTGCTACATATTGTCCCAAGGAGTGAATTAACTGTCGAGCCACATGTCTGCACCCCTTCCTGCTCTTTGAAAACCCAGCAGGTGCTAGACATGCCATTCTCCCTGTGAGTGGTCATTAAGCCAGACTTGACTGTTTGCTGCCAGGCTCACAGAAGTGAATTGTCTTTTCGCCAATCCCTTCCAGAGTAAATGTGTCAAATACTGGCCTGATGAGTACGCCCTAAAAGAATACGGAGTGATGCGTGTTAGAAACGTCAAGGAAAGCGCTGCTCATGACTATACCTTACGAGAACTTAAACTTTCAAAGGTTGGACAAGTAAGTATATTGTCGTATTTTTAGAGATTGGATGACTGTGTGAGGTGTGCCATGAGCCAGGGTATTGAGGCTACTCATGTGTGTGTGCGCTTGTGCCCTCCTTCACTCCTTGATTGGATACCATCTGGGTGGCGGGCACAGTCCAGGCACTGCTGGCACATGTTGAGCTAGATGGGGACAGTGGTAACTGGGGAGATGGGCCATTTGGAGTCAGTTGAACTCTGTGTTGAGTGTGCCAAGGCCACAGGGTGGGGTACTCCCCAGTGACTGGGCCCTTGGCATGGGGTCAATAGGGAAGGCACTCCCTCAGATGGTGATGTGTGAGCTGATGTTACAGGGTGGCCCCAAATCACTCAGAGTTGCCCATCCACGCCCTGTCCCCTGGAAAGTGGTCTGTGAGGCCTCTGTTCTCACTCCTCCTGCCTGGCAGTGCAGAGCTTCCACTGTGTCATGGGGAGGCACTTCTGAGCAAATCTCCCATACTGTCCCAAGCAGGAGTCAGGAGAAGCAGCAGTGCTCAGGCAGGGCACCACGCCCGGACTGCTGCGCCCACCGGCATTTCTGTGTGTACTCCTACCAATGAGCTGCACTAGGCATGGGTTTGTCACTAAAACTGAAAAGAAACCCATGCTGATGAATAGGGAGACCGATTGTCAGTAGAACCAAAGCAAAGCCTCCCTTACAGCCTGGTTCCTTGTTTCCACTCAGCTTGAGTTGTCCCCTGATACACAGGAGGAGAGAGAGTGGCCATGGCTCGTGCTGAACCTCGTGCTTGCCCTCATGGGCAAGAACCTGAGCCACATTGAGCCCTGCATGTCTTGGGAAGGCTTGAGGCCTTCGCTGTCCCTCTCAGTGGTTCCCAACTGTGTGCTGGCCCTCAAAGGGTCTCCGAGCTCGGATAGTCCCCGCTGTGGTGGTGGGAGAGAGCAAGTTAGAGATCACTCTTCCTCTTTTACACATGAAGAAATGGAGACCCAGAGATGTCTGAGGGCTAGTGAGTGTAAATGTCTGGATGTCAGCCCAGACCTCATCATCTGATTGGCAACGTCAGTCTGCTTGGCTGCTTGGCACTAGGGGGAGAGCGAAATTCAGTGACATTGTAACATGGGCCAGGTCCACAGAGGCCACAGACGGCCACAGCTGTCCTCTCCTGCAGAGAACAGAGACCTGACTTTGGCCGGGCCTGCAGCTCTGGAGTTGAGTGTCACCTGGATGAGGAGGAGTGGGGCCACCCCGTGCTGGGAACAATGCAGAGAGGTGATACAGGAAGCTAATTGTCACACCAGAACTTTTAGTTCCCACGACAGGCAGAGTTCCCTTGGTGGTGACCCAGCCAGATGTGAGACTCAGAAAGTGGACCCCTAAGTGGCGAGCCGGAACCTTGGGCCCAGTAGCACCATTGGCTTCTGTGGGATGTAGGAAAGCTGAGAAGTGGGTAATTCCTCAACCCCTTGATTTATTTAATTCGGTTCTGGTTTTTCTTGGCTCTACTCCAGGGGAATACAGAGAGAACGGTCTGGCAGTACCACTTTCGGACCTGGCCTGACCACGGCGTGCCCAGTGATCCTGGAGGCGTGCTGGACTTCCTGGAGGAGGTCCACCACAAGCAGGAGAGCATCATGGACGCAGGCCCGGTTGTGGTCCACTGCAGGTGACATCCCCTGCCTCTGTCTTGGCTACAGTCTGTGCCCAACTCCCAGCTTATCTCCTAGGGCTTCTTTCACCCCCAGCCTCAGCAGTGTACCTGTGGGGGCCCTCAGTGTCTGCCCCAGGCATGCACAAGCTTCTTGAAGGGACACTTGCTCTGAGATGGCTTCTTGCAGACCCTGCAGGACTGCCAGGTGTTGGGGGTGGGAGGGGCAGTCACAGCCCTTGTTCTCATGGACTCCTGTGGACTCCTGTGTCTGGGCCTTCTGGCTTGGTTTTCTGTCCTAACCTGCCAGCTCAGAATTCATCTTGTTTGGGACTATTCGCGTCTGTCAAGGAGATAAGAGGTGTAGGGCCTTCCCACAATTAAAAAAAATTCATGTTATTAAAAACCTGTGCACGGATTGAAGATCTGTTCTTGCACTTAATTCCACTTCCTGCTGACTTTTTGACGTCCCTCGTAGTTTTCCCCGACCATATTCCTCTGCTTGTTTACTTCCAAAGTCCAGCTGCTTCCTACAAGGCCTGTGATGGAGGTTGAGCCCCACACCAGAATTTTTTTTTCTTTTATAAAGAATATAGTTTTTAAATGCCGATGAATGAGTCCTCTGTCCTTGTGCCCACAGTGCTGGAATTGGCCGCACCGGGACGTTCATTGTGATTGATATCCTCATTGACATCATCAGAGAGAAAGGTAGGTCTCCTGGAGGGAAACCGGCCCAAAACATTCTCCTGCAGAGTTTCGGCAGAATAGAAGCCAGGCTGTCTGAGCTTTGGGACCCTAGTCAGGAGTCTAGGACCCTACTGCTATGGCTTTTTGTGGTGAGGGCAGTGGTGGTCCCTGCCCAGCCACTGGATCCTTGTTTACAGGGTGGGATGGATCACTGGAGAGGAGGGGCTAGGCAGCCCCGGTGTGCGATGTGTTGCTCACCCCTTCGTCCTGGATCCCTGGGGTTGGTGCAGAGTCCAGTAGACTTTGGAAGAAGCTCAGCTCACACCTTCAAGACTGAAGCTGCCCCCTCTCAGTCTGCCAGGAGCTGTGCGTGGGACGACGTGCTGCCGCCTGCAGTGCCTCCTGATGTTCTGTGGTGTTTGCTTTGCAGGTGTCGACTGTGACATTGACGTGCCCAAGACCATTCAGATGGTGCGGTCCCAGAGGTCAGGGATGGTCCAGACGGAAGCCCAGTACCGCTTTATCTACATGGCTGTCCAGCACTACATTGAAACACTACAGCGCAGGATCGAGGAGGAGCAGGTGCTGAGCCAGGAAAGGGTGGCATGTGGGGTTTCGTTTCCTCTCTGCATATCTAGGCTGTGTTTTTCTTCATGACTCCAGTAGGCACCTGTCTTTGTTGGGGAGTGGGAAACAAATTCCCACTGCAAGCGTTTCTTGCCGCGCTCTCAGGGTTTCCAGTCTGGCCCTCAGGGAGAAGCACTACCGATGGAGCAGCTGCCCCGTGGACAGTTCCCAGGCTCACAGAGCCCGCCCAGCTCAGCCTTGGAGCCTCCAGCCTGGTCAGCTTTGATCCCGGCCCTGTTTATCCTGATTCCATCTTTGAAAATGAGTGCCTCACTCTTAATAGCGTATGGCTATTTGAACCACTAACTTGGTTGAGTTGGAAACAGTGAAATTTCAGTTTTAATAAGCTATGCATAATGAAGAATGTGGAGTTGGCGCCTCTCCATTTGAAGCTATTCATAACAGACACAAAGCCGTGTTAATGAGGAGTATGCTGAAATGAGCGGGAGGAGGAGAGGGCTGCGCTTTTAGGGAGCCGTGCCTACACTCCCCCTTAAAGACTCCCCTCAGCCTTGTTGCTGCGCTGCAGGCAGGGAGATGTTTAAACAACACCCACATGCCTCCTTCTCTGTTTATTCCTGCCAGAAAGCTTTACATCACAAAGGGGACCCGGCACCCAATTGGAATATTTCTAGCTTATCCGGAATCGGGCATCTGGATCCACCTAAAGACTCTGGGTTGTGTCATTGTACAGAAATAACTTCAGAAACAGGATATGAATGAAGATCTGAGGCCAAATAATTAACAAGTGACCAGTATACACAGAGAGAAGAAGAGACAGAGAGGAAGATGTTCCATCCCACTGGTTCACTCCCCAAGTTACCACGACGGCTGGAGCTAAGCCAGTCAGGAGCCAGGAGCTTCTTCTGGGTCTCCCATGTGGGTGCAGGGTCAGAAGGCTTTGGGCTGTCCTGGATTGCTTTCCCAGGTCACAAGCAGGGAGCTGGATGGGAAGCAGTGCCGCTGGGATTAGAACCAGTGACCATATGGGATCTCAGCGCGTGCAAGGCGAGGACTTTAACCACTGTGCTATCGTGCCGGACATGGTTTTGTGTCTCTTAAAATCTTTTTCTGTTCTTTGTTGGGCACGGGTTATGGTTCTGAGTAAGATAGGGGAAAGACACCTCCTTGATGGACTGAGGTTTCATGTATGATTTACAACTTATTTTGAAAAATCAAAAAACATAGCATCCACAAAATGATTTAGTATTGACATTTTTTCTTATAGGGGGACAGGGATCAATCACTTTTTTTAAAAAGAGATTTATTTATTTTTATTACAAAGTCAGATATACAAAGAGCTGGAGAGATAGAGAGGAAGATCTTTGGTCTGATGATTCACTCCCCAAGTGAGTGCAATGGCTGGTGCTGTGCCTATCTGAAGCCAGGAGCCAGGAACCTCCTCCAGGTCTCCCACACGGGTTCAGGGTCCCAAAGCATTGGGCCATCCTCTTCTGCTTTCCCAGGCCACAAGCAGGGAGCTGGATGGGAAGTGGAGCTGCCAGAATTAGAAACGGCGCCCATATGGAATCTTGGTGGGTTCAAGGCGAGGACTTTAGCTGCTAGGCCACGCCGCTGGGCCCCAATCACTTTTTTTTTTTAAGGATGTATTTATTTTATTTTATTTTTTGGAAAGTAAGATTTACAGAGGAGGAGAGACAGAGAAAGATGGTTCATCTGCTGGTTTACTTCCCAAGTGGCTGCAATGGCTGGAGCTGAGCCAATCCTGAGCCAGAAGCTTTGGAGCCTCCTCTGGGTCTCCCATGTGGGTGCAGGGTCCTAAGGCTTTGGGCCATCTTCTACTGCTTTCCCAGACCATAAGCAGAGAGCTGGAAGGGAAGTGGAGCAGTGCCCATATGGGATCCCTGCAGATACAAGGTATGGACTTTTTTTACTAGGCTGTGGTGTTCTGGGCCCATATTATTATTTTTTTTATTATTATTATTTTTTCATTGGAAAGGTGGATATACAGAGAGGAGAGACAGAGAGGAAGATCTTCCATCCGATGATTCACTCCCCAAGTGAGTGCAACGGGCCGATACTATGCCGATCCGAAGCCAGGAGCCTCTTCCGGGTCTCCCACGCGGGTGCAGGTTCCAAAAGCTTTGGGCCGTCCTCGACTGCTTTCCCGGGCCACAGGCAGGGAGCTGGAAGGGAAGCGGGACTGCCGGGATTAGAACCGGCGCCCATATGGGATCCCGGGCGTGCAAGGCGAGGACCTTTAACCACTTGCACCACCGCGCCGGGCCCCATATTATTTTTTAAAGATTTGTTTATTTATTGTGAAAGTCAGAGTTAAACAATAAAGGGAGAGAAAGGAAGAGAGAGATTTTCATTTGCTCGTTCACTCTCCAGGTGAACCTGACCAGCTGCAGTGGTCAGGGCTGGACCAAGCTGAAGCCAGGAGGCAGGAGCTTCATCCAGATCTCCCACATGAATATTAAGTGCCCAAACACTTGGGCCATCTGCCCCTGATTTCCCAGGCCATTAGCAGGGAGCTGGATTGAAAGTGGAGCAGTTGGAACATGAACCGGTGCCCATATGGGATGCTGATTGCAGGTGGCAGCTCTACCCATTGTGCTGTAGTGCTAACTCCAACATTTCCTTCAAGGTCCTTCTCTTTATTGAACACGCCATGGGGCTGGTATTGTGTCGCAGCAGGTTGAGTTGCCACTTGGCACACCTGCATCCCAGGTCAGAGAGCAGATTTGAATCCTGGCTGTTCCTCTTCTGATTAGCTCCCTGCTAATGTGCTTACGAGGCAGTGGATGATAGTTCAAATACTTGGAATCCTGCTGTTCGTGTGGGAGATTGTGCTAGAATTCTCAGCTGCTGGCTTTGGCCTGGCCAAGCCCTGGCTGTTTCCAGGTATTTGGGGAGTAAATCAGTGGGTGGAAAATCTAGCTTGTCTCTCTCTTTGTTGCTCTTCCTTTCAAAGAGATGGAAATAAAGAAACTTTAAGGAAACAAGTGTAACAAGTTACCAGTGAATTTCCCTTTGACGCTTACCCCTAGATCCATCCCTCATTCCATTCCTGAAATCCAAAAGCAGTCACTAGTCGCTTTTTATATTATGAAATACAAGTACCTGTAAACAGTGTGTAACTTTGTTCTAGAAGTTTGGAACATATGCCCAGATGGCATATGCTCTGTTGTTTTATTGTTGTGTATGTTGTGTTGTTTTATTGTTGTGTGACTTGTGTTTTTGCACCTTGTTTATGAAGTCTGTTTTCACACACATCTGTTGTGTTCCTCCTTAGTATCACGTATCGTTTCACCATCTGAGCACATCACACTCCCTCGTCCTGTTAGTGGGCCTTGGCGAGACTATGCACTCAAAGGCCACTGTTGGACAGCTCCTTCAGGCTCCAGGGGTTCCTGGAGAAGTCATGTTCCAGGTTGGAAGCCAGATGCCTTTCCAGTTGGGTTGCTAGCTGAATTATTAGCACTGCCTTTTCTAACTGCTTGGGCTCCTGTCTTCCCACCCAGCAGAGGTGAATGGAAGCCCCCTCCTTATATTTGAAAGGGCTACCCTTCGAGCTGCTTGCCCTTTCCAAGCAGACTTTTAAGGAAGCCGCATTGTAGAATACTGCTTATTTGACAGATGAGATTTTTCCAAATTGGCTGTGTCTAGGTGAATATTAGAGAAAGAAATAATCAGTCATCCAACCAGGAGTTCTGCCAAATATAGCTCACTCCATGTCTGAAAGGAGACACACTGGTTCTGTTTGCTTCCCCTTGCACGTCCCCATTGCTCCTGCCTTTCCTACCCCAGGGATCATTAGAGCCGAAAGTGAAGTGTTAAAGGTGTTCCCTGGGTGAGAGAAGAGAGGGTGGAGTGCATTACTGTTTCTAGTAAGAGTACAGCCATTAGACTCCTCTCCCCACGGTGTCTCTGGAAATCATTAAATGTGTTCCCTTGGCCCCTGGGATGATTAGATGCTGATGTGGCAAGGAGTACGCCTTCTCCCTCCCTCTGATCCAGTGTGGTAAGTTGTGGACGTCCAGCTCCGTGCCTTGCAGTGCTGTGGCTCCCACGTTCTCCTCAGTCACATGGTGTGGCTCCTAACTACCGGTCAGCCAGTTGGCATCCTCCAGCCTCTGGTCCATCTCGCTCTCTTTCCTTCTGTCTCTTGTTTTAAGTTTTTGATTCTTTATTCCTTTTTTTTAAAAAAAGGCTACGGTCCCTCACACATGTATTCTTCCAACTTTCAGAAAAGCAAGAGGAAAGGGCATGAATACACCAATATTAAGTATTCCCTAGCGGACCAGACAAGTGGAGATCAGAGTCCCCTTCCGCCTTGCACCCCAACGCCACCGTGTGCAGAGTAAGTAGCGGGGAAGGAAATTCTTTGTACTGCTCCAGAGTTTTACATGCAGCTTTTCATTTAAAAAAAAAAAAAAGAAGGCATGTTGTGGCACTTGAGAGGTGAGCGGGTGGCTTGTGTGGGTTGTGTTGATGCCACTGAGGCACAAGTTTTTCCTCCACCGAGGATGCTAAGAGACCCTGCAAGGGGGCTTGCAAACTTCATGGAAAATGCCTACTATGGAAAAAAAAAGCTAAGATTTCAAAATTTTTTTGTACTAAAATAAACTTTAACTCCATTTTTTTTTTCAAGAAAATGGAAAACAGTCCATTGTAGTGTTTATGAGAATGGCAGTTCTAAGTTGTTATTTTTCTGTATTCTGTGTATTTTGAACTCACTCCTTAGTATAACATTTACTTTGCATTTTCCCCTAAGCATCTGCTGTGGATTATGAAAGCCCTGCACACTACGTCAACCTCTTGGCGTATGGGCGACTTGTGTTTACACTGACTTCCTATTAATGCGGAAGTGACGTTGCGTGGCAGAGGTGGTCCCTGCTGCAGGCTGCCTCTTGCTGTTGCCTGCTTTTCTCTCTGTCCCAGTGGAATGGGGCCGAGGGACCTGGCATTTTCACTCTCTGCCGTCATTTGTGGTAGAACTAGAACATCAGCAATCTGAGTGCCTGCCAAAAGCTGTCTCCTCGTGTTGGCCTCCCCGAAGCAGCTCGAGCGACTCCCAGCTTGGTGGTGGCAGGCTTGGGGGCTCACAGCCCCTCCGCATCTCTGTCCCATGGACCCCCATTTGGGTTGACTTGTGTTCGAGTCCCTGCAGGCTGACAGCCTGTCCTTCCTGCCCGCTCTGAGCTCCTCCCTGCCTCTGGTGCTCTGGGCCTCTGTGCCAGGGCTCTGAACCTTCCCTGCCCTAGTGTTACCTGCATCCCCTGGTCTGACTGTTCCTATGCCTGCTTTTCCTGGCCTTTTAGCCTGGTCCAGTCCTTCTGCTGGGAACAACAATTCCTCTCTCTGTGTGCAGGTCTCTCTCTCCTTCCAGTCGCACTCAAATGCCATATCCTACAGGTTCCTTTGCTGTGCCTTCCTAAAAAACAGCCTGCTTCCCTCCAAATCTCAGACAGCACCGGGCCCCAGGTCGTTCGTTGCTGAGTGTTCATGTTTCGTTCCCCTTCCACAGGGCAGGGACAGTGACTGCATCCTAACCGGTCCCCATAGGTGGTAGCTGTGCTTTGTCTGTGTCGTGGCAGCTCGAGCAGCACAGGCTGTGCTTCTATAAACACCTGCCTCCCTTCCTCCACAGGATGCGAGAAGATAACGCCAGAGTCTACGAGAATGTGGGGCTGATGCAGCAGCAGAAAAGCTTCCGGTGAGAGGAGGCACCTGACTTCAGCACAGGACTCGGTACTGACATGTCAGCGCTGTCTTGACTAGAGACTCACGTGACTTGTGGCTGTCCCAGCTCGATTAAGCACCCTCCTCTTCCTCTCTTTGTGCTTCCATCTCCAAGTGCGATGTAGCTTAGAGTTCCTATAAACATTAAAATCAAATGTAGACCTGCGTCTGCAGAGGGGAGGGGTAAGGCTGGTATTGACTCTAGACACAGTTGGTGCTGGGAACCTAAAAAATATACTTACTTATTTATTTTGATTTTATCTGAAAGAGAGCTAGAGATCTTCTTCCCCCACATGCCACAACAGCTAGGCCCGGGTCATGTCAGGACTCTGGAACTCCATCTAGGTCTCCTTACGTAGGTGGCAGGAACCCAAGGGTGTGTATTAGCAGGAAGCTGGATTGGAAGCAGAGGTGGGGCTTGAACCCGGGCACTCTGAAATGGGGTCCAATTGGCATCTTCACTGCTGTGCCCAACATGCGCCCTGACAGCAGCAGGTATTAGCATAGCCCAAGCTATGCTGTTGGATGATCTGCCAAGGACCTGGGAAGTGATTGGATGTGGTATCAGGTGGGTGGGGTCATGGTGTCCAAGTTCTCATCCCTGTTGACTGAGATATGACACCTGTTCCAGGCTCGCCTGGCCCCTGGCCGTGTCAGCTCCACGCCCCTGCCAGCTCTGCTACTGCGAACTCATCTCCATTCTCTGGCAGTCACCTTTTTAGGTGGAGACCCATTGCATCCTGTGTGTTTTAATGGCAAGTTATAGATGTGCAGTGTCACAGTTTTCAGGTTGAACCCCCCTCCCTTTTAATTGGGTAGTATAGCTCTTTTTAAACTCTGCATCTCACAAGTTGAATGCTTTGTTGTACTTGCAGCTATAAAGGGATTAAACATCCTTACTTCTCCCCAGATGTCAACTTTTGCCGTCTCCCTGAAAAGATCCAGAGCAGTCACAAGAAAGTTGACATGAAGAATGAATTCGAATTGGCAAGGCCTGCGTTAACTGTGGCTGACTGCCTTTGGAGAAGCAAAATTTGAAACCATTTGAAGACCACTGTATTCTAACTCCACAGTTCATTTCCTCAGATAAGAAGAAACCATCTCTACAATGTAGATGTTGTGACATTTTCTAGAATTTCGTTTTAAATTGAGGAAGCAGTTCAGCTGTGCTCTGTATTTTGCAGGTTTATATGGGGATTCAAGTTCTAGTTATGGGTGGTTTTGTAATTGCATTTTTTCTTTTTATAACCCTATGTTGTTTTGTTTTCCTCTTGGTGGAGCACATTAGGGTGCTTGTAAGCAGAAGTAGTTTGGGAAGACTAGGTCACAACTTCTTTGAGAGAGGAGGACAGTTTCCTTGACCGTCGCTACTATGTGAGTCAGTTTTGTGTCACTCGGATGGAATCCTGCAGACGGGGTGATTTGTCATGAACTGAGACCAGGAAGTTGGAGATCGACGGCCTACAGGTGAGGGCCTGTTTATACCAGAACACAACGGAAGCCGTCACCTGCCGGAAGAGGGCCAGAGAGGACCGAGGGTGCTCCTTCCAACAGGACCCACTCTCAGAAGAACAAACCCACCCCCATTTGCTTAGAGGGGGCAGAGCCCTCACGGCCTAGGCCCAAGGTCCTCATTGTCAGCACTGTTGCACTGGGGATTCGGTTTCCGGCACGTGAACTCTGGGGGACTTTGTCAAACAGTAGCTGTGATCCACTGGGCGATGCTTTTTTTTTGGGGGGGATGAATTAGGCCATCAGCTGAGATAGAATTTGACCATCTCCCTTTGCACTATCCTTGATTAATATTGGGGAAAATCATGGGAATGCATGAATTAGGGTAAGAGCTGTCTTTCTCTTCTTGACCTACAACCAGTGACCATTCAGCTGCTGACTGCGAAGGTTGTGGTGGGCCATATTTTCTTTGCATTTGAGCGATTGTCTTGTGTTTAGGAAGAAAAGACATCCATGGATGACTAGCATTTTGGTTATCCAATATGGCTGACAAACTGCTACCCTTAAACGTAGTGGCTTGATACAGCACTGTCCCCTCCCCACAGTCCTAGCGATTGTTCAACTGATCTTGCAGGTGGCTGGCTACTCCTATGAGTGTCGAGTGGGCTGAGACCCGTGGCTGACTAGGCCACTCTCCGCATGCAGTCCCCCTCGGGACCTCGCCAGCAGGGCAGCTAGACCTCTCCCATGGCAGCTCCGAGCTCCCAAGGGTTCCACAGCAGAAGCAGCACCCAAGTCTTCGTGGGACCTCAGCTCAGAACTGCCACCACATCTTCCCCCTCCGTGCAGGCTGACTGACGACTGAGGGCCCCCTGCCACAGGTCCATGGCCAACCTCGCAGTGGAGGGCTCTGTTGGCAGCCACCAGTCTTTCCAACCCTCCTGAGCAGTGGCCATGGAAACCCCAAGCGTGGTTGGCAGAGGCCACAGCTGCTGACACTGCTGTTCCCTGAGCTGCAAGTCAAAGTGAAAAAGAGAGGGCCTTTGAGAAACTTCCTGAGCCAGTTCTGGCAGCTTTGAGCCCATTTCCTGAAGTTTCACTTGGACAAGCAGGTGTCCTAAGCCCCGATGTATGTAAGGGGACGGACCCCACGAGAGTAGAGCCATCCTTTGGGAGAGCATGAGCTGCTATTGGGGCCAGTAGTTTTGGGTCAGGCCTTACACGTGCACACGTGTAGATGGGCTGTGGGGAGAAGGGGCTCAGCCCTAGGGAGGCCTCCCATCACACTGGCTGAGCTCAGTTGGGTTTGAACCAAGCAGTGAGATTTGCTGATGTTCTACCTTAAGTGCCTTCTCCAAAGACATCCCCTTCGGCCTGAAGCCTCAGTGTCTCAGTGACAGTCTCCTGGGTAACCATGAGGAAGCGCCATGGCCCCTTGTGCCCGGAAGTCCTGGCCTCCTGACCCAGATGCTTCTTGCTTTGGCTCCTGACAGGAAGGACTCATGGTCCAGTTCCAGAAGTGCTCCCTTCTGGAGGTCTTTCATTCCCTGGGAACCCCGAGACGGTTGAGCAGTGCAGTGGCCACCGCCAAAGCGTTCCTTCCCCCTCTCCTCCCCATGACCTTTAACATTGCTTCTGAATACAGGTGTGGGCTGAAGGTGTTACTTATTAGGAGATGTAATGACTGTGGTCTCATCAAGCCTGTGAAGAGAGGGATTCCAGCTCAGTGTCTGCGACCAGGGTCTTGAGTCTTGTTCTTTCCCTGGCAGTGTTACATGGAATTGTTCTCTATTTTGCTTGGATTTTCTGGCTGTGTTCTGATTCTGGGCTTTGGGGGTGTAGTGGGAGGTGGGGAACAAAGGCTTTCACCAGCATACAAGAGTCTGATTGTACAGAAACACCTGCCATATTAATGTTTCCGCCTGTAGCTCAAGATGAGCTGTTTTTGCCCTCGGAACAGAAATACCTGATCTTGGCTAGCTTAATCTGTTGGTTTTCATTTGCATTTCCCTCTGCAAAGTCAGAAAACTATCCTGTTGTTTTGTCAACTTAGGCCAAGACTAGATTCCTCCTAGTCTCTTGGTGGCTGAGGCTCACGGCGTGTTTGATAAAAGGTGATGGTGGGTTCTCAGGGGAGGGTGCTGTGTGTGGGGTGGAATTGGACAGAGGGGCTGAGGTATGGGGAAGCTCAGACAGGTTAGAAGGTGGAAACGAAAGTTCTGAAGAAGCGGTTTCTGAGCAAGTCAGGTGGTCCAGGGCCAGAGCAGTCCGTCACCAGTTGCCTCAGCTGACTTGGAAGGCAGCTGTGAGAGCCCCGCACTTGCAGCCTGCTGTTAGAGGTGCAGTGTGGACAGCAGGCCAGAGCCGGAAGTGCATTTGACAATTGTAAGCATAGGCGTTTATATTCAAAGGGAAGACACGATCTGACGCATGAAAAAGGCCAACTGCCAGTGTCTTGATAGCTCTTTTTTTTTTTTTTTTTAAAGAAGTGTCAAAGGATACTTCTAGTCCAGTGCGTGACCTGCTTCGGAGGTCACATCTCCCGTTGCCACCAGTGACTTCTCAAACCTGGCCACACAGGAAGGCGGAGGCGCGTGGTGGCCCACCTGGAGACCCAGCTGGCTTTGCACAACCCAGTGGCTTCGGAACAGCCAAGCAAACAGTCCCGATTGCTTGTAGCAGCCGTTTCACTGGGGATCTTAAGAACTGATCTAACAGCCTGGGTTATTTCTAGTATGGGGGGGGGGGATGAGGGTGTGGGAGAGTATGGGGTTGGGAAGTGTTTAGTTGTAGAGTAGTAATCCTTAAGGGGACTTAGCCTGCAGGCAAGAAGGCACACCAACATTGCTGCGTTCCCCCAGTTGCTGGGGGAGAGAGTTTGACACAGCAAGCACAGGGCCGCCCTGGCATCAAGATGCCTTTATTAGGAAGTGGATCAGCCCTTCATTTTGTGGAAATCTTTCTCCTTCTTCCTCTTGAAAACTAAGTTCTGAAATAGAGTTTATTGTATCCTCCATTACTTAAAAAGATCGCTCTTTCTCACTAGGGGCAGTTCACATAGGCAAGAATAGTCCACAGTTGGTTTTAATGTTACATCACTTTGCCATCTATTAAACTAATTTCTACAAGTTTTTTTTTTTTCCATCCTAAACCACAAATCATGTAATTAATCATTTGCCTGTTTATTTATGAACTAATTGTGATTCTTTTATTAATAAAAGCTAATGGAAAAGGATCCTTTATTAAGCTGATGACTAGACCCATTATTAATTTTCCTGCAGCATTATGAAGAAGTATTGTACCAGAGTATTAAAAAAGATATGTAATATTTTATTGATAAATCTATCCTTTAAAAGGAGAACGTTTTAGGATGCCATCATTTTGATGTGAATCATGTAAATGTTGATAATATGTTGTTTATTATACATTTAGTGGTCCAAGAGACCCAGCCATTGCCTTTTTGCCCACTTATATCATGGAGTCTATTTGCAATTGTTTTTTTTTTTAAACAGTGACATTAAAAGAATAGTTTATGTAGAGAAACATTAGTGATGTTAATTGTCTCCCCACCTGTATTTATGGGTGTTAGTTCAACTGCTTTGCTAGTTTCAAAGCTGTATTATCAGAGTATAAGTGTATTTGTAAACTGTATGGGAACTAAAAGTTAGGAATAAAACCATTTTCTTAGGTTGTGGTAGTTGTCATTCACTTCATCAGAAATACTCAGGGGGAAATTAAGATTGGGGCTAACCCAATCTTTCACACCGGTAGAACACTGATGTCATTTTAAAAAATAATCTTAAAGATGTACTGCTTGAGTTTATTTGATAGAGACAGAACTCCCATCCTTTCTGATTTGTTCACCAAAACACAAAAAGCTGGGGCTGGTACAGAGTGAGGCTGGGAGCCAAGATCTCAGTCCAGGCCTCCCACCCCCCTGCTCGGGCCATCAGCACTGCCTTCCAGGGTGTGTCAGCAGCAAGATGAAGTTGGGAGTGCAGCTGGGACTTGCGCATCCCAGGCTGTCCAACACCCACTGAGACGCTAACAGGCATCTAGCAGATCCTGTCTTCAGTGACTTCACATCAGACACGCGGCTCAGTCCCCCGGAGTTCAAAGACTTATACCTGCTGTCTGGTGGTGAGATTGGAAGAACATGTGGGTAGGTTAAAGGTAAGGTGTGTGTGTATGTGTGTGTACGTGCACACACAGAGAACTGAATGTCGGGGATTTGGTGGGGTCCCACATAAGAGGCATCAGCTCTTCCCTGGAGGGTACGCTTAGGCCCCTACACACGTGATGATCGTCCCACCACAGTGCATATCGGCTGGAATAGAAGGAAGTCATTTTATAAAAAGTAAACCAGAGAGCTGTTAGTGCTCCCCTGTGGATATGAGGAAGGCTTCAGATCCCTGATGATTCAGCAAAGTGCCTTCCTGTCTACCCCAGCTGAGTCCTTTGGAGCATGTAAGTCAGATCCAGCTGCTGTGTTTGTCTAACTCGGACACCTTCCCATGCAGAAACTGAGAGATGCCAGGCCCTGGGAGTGAGCAGCGACTGGAACGGACGTGATGGCTGCTGTCCTCCAGGTGAAGCTAGAGCCCGCATGAGTCACCAGGTGGGCAGTTGTCCTTATGCTAGCTTACTGAAGATAGCCCAGGGCTAAGGCAGTGAACTCCACGCGTGGGAAGGAAGTCCTGCAGTGGCTGAGGGTGTGGCTGGTGGGGAAATGGAACTTGGCTTGGACAGAAAGTGTCTCCTGGACCTCCACGCTGGAGCCGCTGGTCGACTTCCCGCTAGGATTCAGGAAGTGTTTTTTGGGGGACACCTGGTTCTATGCAGTCCTTCCTGAGAACCTGGGTGGTGCATTAAAGCCAAGGCAAGGGCTGCCTAGCTACACAGTGCCCACTCTCAGGAGGAATTCCCACAACAAAATCCACTGTGGACAGAGAGCAAAGGGTGTCTTGGACATCTTGGTGTCCACACACACGCTGGAATATGTCCACACGCACCCTAGCCGTGACAGCTCAAGTACTTGGGCCCCTGCCATCCACATGGGAGACTCAGATGGAGTTCTGGGCTCCTGGCTTCAACCTGGCCTGACCCCTGCTATTTGGGCATTTGGGGAGTGAGCCAGTGGATGAAAGAGCTCTCATCTTTGTCACTCTGCCTTTCAAATAAGATAAAGGGAAACGTTTTAAAAAGGAAAAAAAAAATACTGTGGCAGATGAGTGGGGTTATTATTGGGCGTAACGACCCCCACAGTCCCAAAAATAAATATGGATGTGGGTGCGTGGAGCACCTGTCCCTTCCCCACCGATGCAGAAAGCTTAGCTTTTATTTCAGCTTGTCTCCCGCCTCCCAGTCACCTGCTGGGAGGGGATTCCCTGCCTCCAGCTCGGAGCCTCGGAAGGTGCTGTCACCACATGGGAGGGATGCACGCCGTGTGCTGGGAGGGAATGACTCAGATGCTTGCAACCTGCTAAGTGAGCAAGGCAAGCAGGAGAAAATGGTGCCCAGAGATCCTTCCCCAGGCGTTGGTCCTCTCTCCTCTACCCTGTGTGCGCCCCACCAACACCACCCCAAGAACTGTCTGTCCCCAGTTGCAGCGGCTCCCTTGGTGGAGAGGGAGATGTTTACCTAATTGGATTAATAACTTATATAATAATCTCATGTAAATGAGACAGATGTTCTCAATCCTCACTCCAGATTATTGCTCATCCAGTCCACGAGGTCACTTTCAGAGGATGAAGAATGAAACGGTTACGAAAGATAGAAGCCAGTGTGGGGGCTTTGAAGATTTGTAGGGACTATTTTTTTTTTCATCTTGTTTTGAGTCATTTGAGGATCAAGGTTACAGCTTCGTGAATAACCTTTGTATGAGAGGCAGTAAGGATTTATTTAGTTATTTGAAAATTTATTTATGAGGGGTGGGAGGAACAGAGACAGAGAGGGAGACCTGCTTTGTTCACTCCCTGCATGACCAGCCCGAAGCCTAAGGGTCCCATGTGGGTGGCAGGGACCTAAGTAATTGGCCATCAACCTCTCTTCCCAGGGGCCTTGGCAGGGAGCAGGAACTAAAGTGGAGCAGCTGGGGCTTGAACCACACTCCTGTGGGTGATCAGTGTGTAGGTTGCAGCCTAACCGATTGACCTCCTCCGTGGGTCTTGAAAACCAGTTTTCTTTGGGCCATTGGGGATGGCAGAGGAAGAACTGCGGCAAAGAGTTAGCTACTGTTTGTGTTTCTGGAACAAGCAACGAACTCAAGAGTGTTTTGTTTTGAGCTGGAGCTGGGAGGTGGGGTAGTAAATCCATAGACTAGTCACAGCAATTTTATGTAATAATTGCAAGAGAACCTGGAAAATCGGGTCGGGATGGGCATTACCCTGGTGTTGACGTTGGTTAAGACACTTTCCTCCTGGGCCTGGTGCCATAGCCTAGTGGCTGAAGTCCTTGCCTTACACGTGTGTGCTGGGATCCTACACGGATGTAATTTCGTGTCCCGGAGGCCCCACTTCCCATCCAGCTCCCTGCTTGTGGCCTGGGAAAGCAGTCCAGGACAGCCCAAAGGCTTGGGACCCTGCACCTGCGTGAGAGACTTGGAAGAAGCTCCAGGTTTCTGGCTTCAGATCAGTGCAGCACTGGCTATTGCGGCCACTCAGGGAGTGAGTCAGCAGACAAAAGATCTTTCTCTGTGTCTCTCCTCTCTGTATATCTGACTTTCCAATTAAAAAAAAAAATCTTAAAAAAAAAAAAAGATACCTTCATCCTGTATCAGAGTGGCTAGGTTTGGTTCCCAGCTCTGGCTTCCAGTTGCAGCCGCTTGGAAGTAGGGACCCTGGGAAGCAGCCGTGATGGCTCAAGGGACTGGGTCCCTTCACCTCAGGAGGGAGACCTGAACTTAGCCCCCAGGTCTGACCCTGGCAGTGCCCCCACTGGGGGCATTTGGGGAGTGGTCCAGCAAATCTTTCTCAAATACAAGCAAGCAAGCAAGTCAGCAGAGAAGAGCATGAGGAGTGATGGAGAGGCTCGTGGGGGCAGAGTGGGCGCTACTTTACTATGTTTAAATGACGCAAGAAATGATAGCAAGCATTTGTTGCATGAACGGTGCTATGCTAATTTCCAGCTTGACTGGGGTGGGAGTGTACATGCCGATTGTGGCTAATCAGTGTGAATGGCATAAGATTCTGTCCACAAGTACTTTACATTTCTGGCTTCCTTTTTCTATGTTGAGTTTTAGCAGTTTTTCAAGAAGCTGCACAAAAGGGCCAGTCATCTATTCTTTGCCATGGAATGGACACGCCTCCCAGTTAGCTCTCAAGGGTTCTGGAGTGTTCTCAAGGCAGCACAGGGAGAGGAGACTGTGCCAGCCCTATCCGGCTTTGTCTGTGACCTCCCTTTTGATGCGCAACTACCATGCACCTTAACAGCCTCATTAACGTTGGAAAAGCACTTCAGTCCTGGCAGCGGCAGGATGCCAGCAAAGCACAGGGTGCAATTATTATTATTATTATTATTTTACTGTGTCTCCAGTGCTTGGGTTTTCTCCATCAAGAACAAGAGACAGTTAAAGGAGGGAGGAGAGTGAGGCCACTGGCAGAGGACGGCCCTGTGCTGCCCTGTCCCCCCACCCCCATCCGGTACCTGGGCCCCATCATGGAGCATCAGCATCTTCAGTCCCTCTCTGGTCAGACCCACTGCCCTTCTCCCCTGCTGACTCCTGGCTCTGCGACCCATGTGGCCCCTGTGGCCCGTGTGAGTCAGTGTCAGCAGAGCTATGGGGAAGTAGATAACAGGTTCAGTCTCCAGTGGGCTACCTCACTCACTTGTCATGACAGCCCTAATGATGCCCATTTTACAGGTGATAAAACAGAGGCTCCCAGAGGATGAGTGATTAGCCCAAGAGCATGAATGAGCTGGACCTCGAACCCAGCTCCATGTGGCTTCTGTTGGTGCTGCTTTTATCTTTTTAGGATTTTTAATTTGCAGCCGGTGTTGTGACATAGTAGGCTGAACCTCCACCTGCGATGTTGGCATGCATGTGGGCATGGATTTGAGATCTGACTGCCCCAAAGCTCTTGGCTCCTGTCTTCAGAACAGCCCAGCTCTGGCCGGTGTGGTCATTTGGGACCAGCAGATGGAATATTCTCTCTTTTTCTCTCCAGGCCCGGGTTAGGCCAAAGCCAGGAGCCTGGAGCTCCACCAGGGTCTCCCACACAGATGACTGAGGTCCAAGTACATGGACCATCGCCTTCAGCCTCAGAGCATTCCAAAGGCGATCTGATATGGGTGCTGGTAATATAGAGGCTTAGCCTGCTGCACTATGGCAAACTATTTTTTTTTTTCTAATTTAGGCAGCTTTAAAAAAAAAAGATTTATTTTTCTTGGAAAGGCAGATTTACAGAGAGAGAGGAGAGACACACAGAAAGATCTTCCATCTACTAGTTTACTCCTGAAGTGGTCACAACGGCCACTGAGCTGATCTGCCTGAAGTCAGGAGCGAGGAGCTTCTTCCGGGTCTCCCATGCAGGTGCAGGGTCTCAAGGCATTGGGCCACTTTGGACTGCTTTCCTAGGCCACAAGCAGGGAGCTGGTCAGGAAGTGGAGCAGCTGAGGTACAAACTGGTGCCCACATGGGCCACTAGGCTATCGTTCCGAGCCCCATAACAAGCTTCTTAAGCCATCAC